GGGACCAGTAGGCTGAGCTCTGTGTTTCTTGTCGCTTCTGTTGTTTGTTTCCTCCTTTAGCTTCTCTGTGCCTCAGTTTCCTCATCCTCAAGTGATGTGATCCCTGACATCGTTGTCGTAAAGATTAAATGGGTACTGTGTACGGAAGCATCGAGCCAGCTGCATGTGTGTAGTGGGTGCTTCTCTAATATTTGGTGAACAAATGAGTGATTCTGAGAATGGGACTGATAACAACTGTTCTTCCTACCTCAGAGGGTTGTTAAGGATCCGGTAAACTCACGTCTGTCATTTGAAAGTAATAGCAAATTGTTGTAATATAGGGTATTATCATTTAAGCTATCATATAGTTCTTTTATTGGTTTGGGAACTGAAATTACTAGAAGGCAAGCGTTTTGTTAATCTGGCTACAGGACTGAAATATGATATGGTGCCTCATCTTTGAAGATCAGCCACTTACCAAATTCTCATATGAATTTGAGAAGAGACACACACGCCTGCCTCCAGCCCAGGCTAAAGATATGTTCCAGGTGGAAGGTAAACTCAGGGTTGGCTTTCAGTCACAGCCCACGACTCCTTACCTGTGTGACCTGCAGCGAGCTACCAAGCCCAACCAAGCTTTAAGACCCTCTTCAGTGAAATAAAGGGAGGAGGACTAACATCCACCTTACAGGGTTGTGATGAGGAGGTGAGAAAGGAAAAGCTCCTAGCGTGGGTGCTGCCACCGTAGCTGCTTCATGAAGCTCTGTTCATTTTTCTCACGTCCACCGTGCCAGACACTAGACTACACACTGAGAGGCTCTGAGAGCAGGTTGTGGAGTCAGGGGAAGGTAAGGGTGGCCCTTCCGGGACGATGCAAAGTCCAGAACTAGAAGTGGTGCAGAACTGTCTCCTGAAAATACATTTAGTAAATAAACAGATGGAAGTGGTTCAACATTGTATGGCTTATTAAGGAAATACAGATGAAAATGAAGAATATATGAAAAATAATGAAAAAAGAGATCAGCTATTTTGGTGTATGTACAGTGAAATAGGCATCTCAGATGTTCATGTGGTAGTGAAAAGGGTGGCAAACCTTTCAACCTATGTTTTTTCTTTTTAATTGAGATGTAATTCACATGCCATCAAATTCATCCTTTCAATGTGTAAGGAGTTGTGTAAGCATCACCACTGTCTAATTGCAGAACATTTTTATCACCCCAAAAGGAAACCCTGTGCCTATTAAGCAGTTGTCCCCCATTCTCTGTGACCCCCCAGCCTGGAAACTACCAATCTGCTTTCTGTCTGTGGATTTACCTGTTCTGGATGTTTCGTATAAATGGATGGAATCACACTATATGTGACCTTTCGTGTCTGACTTCTTTCACTTAGCATAATGTTTGTGAGGTTCATCCACACTGAAGCATGCATCAGTACTTCATTTCTTTTTATGGCCAAATAATATTCTTTAATGTATATATACCACAATTTGTGTATCTAGTCATCCGCTGATGGACATTTGAGCTGTCTCCACTTTTTGGCTTTATGAATCGTGCTGCTGTGAATGTGTATGGACATTTATCAGGACCTATTTTCAGTTCTTTTGGGTATGTACCTGGTAGTAGAATT